GTTCCATTTGATAATGTAGAGGTAGAAATGAACGTCTTATCATATGTTGAGGTTGGCATGGTTGTTGTATTAGTTGACGATGACATTATGGTTGTCATTGTTGCATTGAGTGAGCTGAATAATGGAGTTGAGGTGATTGTTCCATTTAATATTCTAGCCGTGGTACTAAACGTCTTATTATAGGCTGAGGATGGCACTAATGTTGTATTAGTTGACGATGACATTATGGTGGTCATTATTGCATTGATTGAGCTGAATAACGGAGTAGGTGTGATTGTTCCATTTAATAATGTAGACGTAGAAATAAACGTTTTATTATATGTTGAAGTTGACATGGTTGTTGTGTTAGTTGAGAACGGGTGAATGGGTACGTTGGTGCTATTTTTTGTAGCTGAAGTAAGACCTTTGTGCTGTAGCGTGAGACTTTGCAGTATCTTTGTTGGTGTTGATATAATGAGTAATGTTCCGGGGGTTACCGTTTGTGTTGTAATATTTCTTCTTTCATTTGCTGTTATTCTGTTTACATTCGAGTCTTCAATGACTGAGGATGTTATTGTAGTTGAATTATTCGGGGTTAGGACTTTGTTGTCGTTGGCGTTGGCTTCTAGATTCTTCTCACTTCCTAAGTAATTTAGAAAAAATGTTTTTTTTAAACGTTGTTTTGAACGTTTTCTACAACTTTTTGTTCTTTTGTATTACATTTGATTTTATACATATCACTTCTGTTTTATACTTATATTATTCGCCGCAGGAATAATCGTTGAATATATGCTGAGTCCTAAGTTTAATTTTGCAAATAAATGTAATGCAAATAAAAGTTAACTGGGGTTTTCTTATGAATAAAATATGTAGCTGGAACTTGATACGCTTCTTATAGCCAAACACAAGTTTGTTTTGGAACGCTCTAGAACTGTTATTGAGACTTATTTAAGCATTTGATAAAATTCTTGACGTCATAATGATGCAAACATCGTTTTGCCTTTATAAACTTTGATAAACTTTTCTCGGAGATCAATCATAATTTCGAATGCAATGTAGTTATAAATAATAATGCCAATCCTCTATTAAGCGGTCAACCTATATGTTTTAATAGGTGATTCCAAAATAATTGCGAGTGTATTTAGCGATTTTTTAAAACTCGCTCGTGTCGCCACAAAATGGCTCGGATTTACCACATGTAGTAGCTCAAACATTTAGGCTGTTAACGGTGTATTCGAAATTATATTTTTTATTCGCGTTTGCCGTTACCGGCCGATTTTGTAACAGTAGTTTTTTCACAATATTGTCTTCCAGCTGTTTTAAAAATCTATGGATTTTCATGACACTTCAGATTCTTAGTGAATTCTTAGTAAATAACTAAATCTTAATAAATTCTGTCTACCGAGTGCCAATCAATTCACCTTACCTATAATTTTGCTTATTTTGCTTATTTTCGGGTTAAGCCGACCAAATGCACGCTTTATATTTTTAATACAAATATGACGTCGTAATTACGTAGGAGTGATGATGTCATCATACATGTCAGAAAACGATTCATTTCACAAATTGGTTTTACTTTATGTTTGGTTTTACTTAAGATTTTAATTGTTTCCATAGCAACCGTGGCTAGTAAATAAGTAAGTCCCTGATTAAGCGGCACTTGGCTGCTTCCCGAGGGTGAGCTTAATAAAGGTTTGACTGTAGCTTGCTTCGTAAAAAGTCATGGTTTTGGAAGAAAATGTCAGGAATCAAGTGGTTGTTTTTTTTCTCCAAACATTTGTTCACAAGAAACGTTCAAAGTTTTCATCATTAATAGCTTATGGAAGCCTGGGTTGATTTTTTGTTGATTTTTTTCCCCATGCACCATTTTGGTCTCAGATTCCGGTGCGTTCTTTTTTTTTTTTTTTAGCCAGACAATGATTTTGCAATTGAGTCTATAATAGTTACGATTACTTATGTTGAATTGCGGGAGAGGTGTTTCCCTAAGGATTATCTTGTAATATACCTTATTCTTGATGATGCAATGTTTTCCCATTTAAGACCACGCAACATTCCCTAGATTATCATTTCTTTGTTTAATGCTTGTGCATGAAAAGACGCATGAATTTAGATACAATCAAAAGAAAGAATCTTGTTCTTAAAAGAATGACACTCGAACTGTAATGGGGAAAAAATTGCAACACACCGGAATAAGTCTATTCAATGTTGCCATCATCGGTGCAATAAGTACAAATCGAGGTACTTACGGTAGAGATTGCGGCAATCTGCACCAACATTTGAAACAAATTCTTTGCTTGTTACTCTACAAGTCTAAACTCGCTAAACATGTTTAACAACATTGGGAAATAACATTGTAAAATAAGTTTAAAGAAACATTCCCTCATGCATCTAAAGATTTGAAGAGGTCCACATCATATTGTCATACGTCTTCTCACAACAACTTTTGCATATTATACCCTTTATTGCATCAATTCTCGGAGCTTCAATTTGGAGGACAAAACAATAGAATTTAATTCTCATAAGAGTAAATTTTCATTATTTTGGCCTCCAAATTACGCTCTTCGGAGAAATGATGCAAGGGATCTATTAGACCATGGCTTAAAGCATTTTACCCTAACAAATACTGAAAAGAAGCCCCGACATCCTTTAGGAGAAACCTTCCCTTAAAATCAAGCTAGTAAACTTAAACTATGTGCATAACTTCCTTGGCTCACGCCATTATTAATCAAATTTGTTTACTATCTACAAGTATCCAAATTTTAAATCTATTCCTCTTCATACGATTTGTAATCCATTCTTTGCCTCTGAAAATGGCAAATTTACTGCCGAAACATCACGATAATCTAATAAGTGTGGCGTTAAAAAGTGTACCACAGCACTATTATATAGATCAAATTGATAAGTACGTTCCTTACGAACCGACAATTACAAGAAATATCATATAAATAATAGGATCATTAATTTGTGTTGCCATGCTCAATAACATTATCCGTCGGCAAAAAAAGCAATCAAAATCAAGAAGCTATGAACATCTAGCTTTTATCAAGATAAACGAATCGTAGGATTAAAGTTCGTGCGTGTTTTAATCACATTTCAAAGAATATCAAACAACTCGCATACCACTGTTAATCCTACAGTGAATATCAGCCAATTTGTACTTTTTTATCACATAATGGTCTAAGAAATGATGACTAAAGAAATCTTTCTACAGCCAAAAGTCAGTTATATCAAAAAAAAAATTTTTTTGGGACGCTCTTAAATAATTTAATGGATAGTTGAAGCCACCGAATATATTTATTCATTATAAGAAAACGAATCTGAAAGCTAAATAATTATTTGTTTTTATTCCAGCGAGTATTTTTATTAAAAAGTTTTTTTTAAAATTCCATTTACTGATTCAGTTTTGGTAGTCTATTGGTTAAATCTGTTGTTGTATAGAAGAAAGGAAATACGGGTTGCTTTTCATAAGAGTACTAATTTACATATCATAAATGGATTGGATTTCGAAGTGTCTACGTTGATAGGTATAGCATTTACAATCACATAATTGAAGGCGTTTAGGAATAGCAAAACCGTAAACCGAATTAGTCACGTTAAAACAAAGTATTTAAGAACAAATTTTGTTAACTGAAAGTGTATTAAATATGAGTAAAAAGTACAACAAACATGTAAAGTATAATAAAAATGGCTGTTGCCACGATTGTAAAGTTAGTAAATAATTTGGACAGTTTTTTGTATTTGTTTTTGTTTAAAAAGGTGTTTGGTTTTTTTATTTGCGAAATTATTATTTTTTACGAGGGAAAAAATGTTTTTGAAGGTTAAAAATGGTCTGGCTATTACCGGACTAATCGCTACGACCCAGAACTTTTTTTTCTAGAAACGGTAATGCATACATATATCTTTAGGAACTTCTTTTGTTTGAAAACTATATTTTGTTGATTGTAAGTCAAAATATAGCGAGGAACTTACTCACCTGTTGTCTGGGCGACACTGCATTGCAGCAAAAGAACAATCGCATACAACGCCAACATCATTGCAAATCTTGTAGAGGCTGTTAAACCTCGTACTGACTAGAGAAAAATATTCTCCCGCGGACTAACACCGCCTTGTCTTAAATAAATATCTTATCTCAAGATAATTTGTTAGTTTTATTCAGCACAGGATCCAAAAATATTTGGCAGTCGATCGTCGTTTTGATAGCAATGTCGTTTGCCAAAATAAATGCAAGTTACGTTCTCAAAAAGAAAAGGAAAAAAACCCCAAACATATACGAAACAATTGATTAATGCAACGAAAAAATACATGAAAACGCATATAGACTTTTTTCATCGGTAATTAACTTTTCGCGGGGGATGACTGACGCGTTGTTGTTAATCAATATTTGTTTACTTTCAAGTCATTAAGCATTCAATGAGAGCGTATGCTAAAATATTCTATGTTTGTATTTCGAATGTTAGTCTTGTGTTTTCTCTTTTACTCAGTACTCATAGAATGCTTCATTTTGTGCAGTGATACTGATAGTTTTATTCTGAATGATAGGGTATATGGAAGTAAATGATTAATTGATTTTAACAGTTAGGGTTAGTATATCTCTTGTCGGCGACGTTTGTGAATAAATGCCTGTCTTAAACGTTGACACAAGTTAACAAACAAGTTTACCTAAGGATTTCTAGAATCATGCCATCTACGGATTCCTCTAAAATCTGGACGCGGACGCGGACTCGGACTCGGACTAGGACCCGAACTCGAACTTGGTACTGTACTCGGGACTATCGAAAAAATCGATAACAACTGGTTTCTGTTTTTTTTTAGTACAGTTATCATATACAGCCAAAGAAGTGACTTAGTTGAGAGGAGAAACCAGACTTTTTCCCACTAATAAATATATTATCCGAGTCCGAGTCCCAGTCCGAGTCCGAGTGCGAGTCTGGATTTAATGGTATGCCCAATAACTAATTAACTAAACCATTGCGTGGGAAAACCGATCAATGATAGTATCCCAAGTTCAATCCTTCTTCCTTTCTTTTTTTATTTCCAAATTGCATTTTGGTGAAAAATTAATCTACATTTACTATAAGTCAATAGAAGTTTTGAACCATCACTTGTCGGCTGCCAGGTTTAATGACAACGAGATCCCTTTTACGCTCAAGAATGGGATTCTTTCTCATGTAAAGCGATTGTATTGTTCCTGTAGTCAAGTGATGGTGCAAAACCTTACTTGCAATGAACTTTTATTGGGCTTATTGTTACCGATCAAATAGAAAGTTAAATTTGAAGCAACCGAAAGCTGTGTCAAAATCTTATATCTAACTATGACACAATCTTTTAGGTTTTTCAGTCATTAACTAATCCTTGCTACTTTTTCAAAGCGTTGAAGAATGTTTAGTGACGCTGTCCTTAGCGGGTCAACAGCCTTTTGCATCTGAAAGTCTTTGCTGGTATTTCACTTTTATATCAATTAAATTCCCCCTCAAGTCTTAGGAACGACCGCAAAGTGTCAAGTGGATGGCCAACAAATTCTCAAATGCTTAGTCAGTGTCTTGAGATTGCTGGCTGTCACTCAGCTCAGTTTTTGAATCTCATTAACTGCTCCAAATGGTGGTCAAACACTGACCACTATGTGTTGTCAGCCAGAAAGAATCCTACTGAAAACTTTCCATTCAGCTGATGAACATTCCGCAAGAGACATCATAAGAAGTGAAGTGGAAGCCAGCAATAGGAATGCATATTATAAAGGAAATACTGGTACTATTATCAGTGCTGATTTGGATCAATAAAAACTTGTGATTGGTTCTCAGTAATGACGTCTTTTATCTGTACTCAGTTCCAATGGTCATTAAATTTGTTATTTTCTCAATAAACTAGTCACTTAATTATTGTTGCGAAAATTTCAGTTCTTAAATAGTGGAGATTACTCTGCTAGTTGTGTATTTTACGAGTGAAAGCGGCCGTATTTTTTCGAGCCCCACTGGCGAGCGCTATGTATTGAAGACTTTGTTAGAGTGAAGTTCAATTAACAAAGAAATTTTTCGGTTTCGCTATGGCATAAATGAAATGTTTCACGCTAAGCGTGCGTCCATCGATTTTGAATGCATTTGCTACGGTTGGTGCAAATCTTAGTCTCCTCTTGCTTCTTATTAGCCTTTCGCGTGAATCCATAATTTGACGGGCGCACGCTATGCGTGACCCCTTTCTTCAACCAATACATAAAATATGAATAAATAAGCACGCTTAATAAGCTAAAATCTGTAAATATTCTTGCAAGTTACAATTTGACTATTAGTCAAAACTATGCGAAAGCCAATGATCATAGCATTTGCAATAGGCCCTTTGCAGCTAACGGTCACGTGTCTGTACTGGAGAGCAAAATTATTGTTTTTATTTTAAATTGGTGATTCTTTTTAGCTATTTATAAAGAACTGGATGAAACGATGTTCAACCAGTGTGTTACGAAATACAGCCTTATTACGATCTCTCGAAACAGGTTGTAGAAATTGCATGTGTTTGCTCTCCAGTAAATTTCACCCATGGGAATCATAATGATCATTCATTTGCTCTAAGTGAATTAATCAGCACGTAATTACTGAGCTGCAAAGGGCCTATTACATATTTATTTCTTTAAGCGAATCAAATGATTGTCTTTGTTTATCCGGTTGTCCTTGGTTTACCTCATCCTAATTACCGACTTGGGCTCTAAGTCGTTGAGTGCTGTCCATCCTGCTAAACATCTCCAATTGAATGTTGTTGAGGAGCTTTTGCTCTTTCTTAGATATTGATTGTGGACGTTTGCTACGATGATGCTTAAGGAATAGAAAGAAATAGAAAATATTTCAGGATTTACAACTGTTTTCATTGCTACAGTATACGCTGATCGAGACAACTGTCGCTACAGTAGGGACAAGGGCGGATCCAGGGTTTTTCGAAGGGGGGGTCTCGGGTAAATTTTATGGGCAAAGGAATCCCAGTCGCATTTTTACCACAGGAAGCCCATTTGACCTCAGGAATAACAGGGGGGTCGCGACCCCCCCGATCCTCCCCCTGGATCCGCCCTTGAGGGAAATCGGGCAAAGAATACAATAACGTCAATCAGTGCGTGTTATGGTAGAAAACAATTCTTTGGATTGACGGTAGTCTATTGTCTGATTTCCCCGCCCCGGAGACGTCTCGATCATCGCGTAGCAATTAAAAAAGTAATATAAGTTTATGAATTTTTTTGTTTTACTAAGACTTTACCTTCCACTTGATGAAAGAGACAGCAAGAATGACAGCAATCACTGAAACGATGCAAATGACCACAATAGCCCAAGAAGGAAAAACGTCCTTCATCGGAGGTCTGACAAAGGAAATACGGCCCCCTTTCAAAGGTAGTCCTTCAAGCAACGCAGTCCCGTTAGCCTTGACTAGGGTCTGGTAAAGACTGATTTCGGTAACATTCGAAGTTTTGTCAAAGAACAATGAGTAATGAACGATCACACTTCCATTACTAAACCTCTCAACCGTCACGTGTTTGAAGCCTGCTTCATTTTTGTATATTTTATGAAGCGATATTTGAAATTTAAGTCTCATATTCACAAAGGCCTTGCTTCGTGGATCAAGTAAAGCTTTGGTAAACTCTAAGGCAAAAATAGCCTTGCCATCAAATCTTTTTTCCGAATACTCAGGAGTGTAATCATTGGAATGTTCAGGGGTTTTAGAAGGGATAACCATGTGCACATTGGAAGTGGCAAGGTACTTCAAGGACGAAAGAGTTGATATGTGATTGGCATGTTCTGAAGAAGGAGTGTATGGCAATTGAGTTGTACTCTTTTGCAAGGATGTCACTAACCAATTTGATGAGGTTGTTGTTGATCGTAGAACATTGATATCACTGCTTTCTGTGGTTGGTGTTGAATATGGAACAGCGTTGTTACTGCTTTCTGTGATTGATATTGATTGTGAAACAGATGTATGACTACTAAATATGGCTGGTGTTGATTGTGGAACAGTAGTGTTACTGCTTGTTGTGGTTGGTGTTGATTGTGGAACAGTAGTGTTACTGCGTGATGTGGTTGGTGTTGCTCGTAGGACCGTGGTGTGACTGCTTGATGTGGTTGGTGTTGATTGTAGAACAGTAGTGTTACTGCTTGATGTGGTTGGTGTTGATTGTAGAACAGTAGTGTTACTGCTTGATG